TCAAGATCACGTGAAGTATTAATACCACTTTACAATGCCTTAGTAAGGCCACACTTGGAATACTGCATCCAGTTTTGGTCACCACGATGTAAAAAAGATGCTGAGACTCTAGAAAGAGTACAGAGAAGAGCAACAAAGATGATTAGGGGACTGGAGGCTAAAACATATAAGGAACGGTTGCTGGAATTGGGTATGTCTACTTTAACGAAGAGAAGGACGAGGGGGGACATGATAGCAGTTTTCCAATATCTCAGGGGCTGCCACAAAGAAGAGGGAGTCAAGCTATTTTCCAAAGCGCCTGAAGGCAGGACGAGAAGCAACGGATGGAAACTGATCAAGGAGAGAAGCAACCTAGAACTAAGGAGAAACTTCCTGACAGTTAGAACAATTAACCAGTGGAACAACCTGCCTCCAGAAGTGGTGAATGCTCCAACACTGGAAGTTTTTAAAGAAGAGACTGGACCATAATGGCCCATGCCTGATCTAGACACATGGCTGTTGAACTACATTTTTACAAACAGTAACTAGTTTCCAATTTGTGATCATTTTGAAGATGAAGCCTAAGCCGTTAAATCTGATGAGTAATAACTACCATGATGAATATAGTTATCTGATATATTATTCTGTTAGATTATTTCTATTTTGGGATTCAGCAGGTGGGTTTAGCAAATATAGGAGAATTATTTTTATTATTTAGAAATATTTTTTCTAAATATTCTTGTTTTATTTTTGCCAAGAGAGGAATTCCTTATCCTATCCTTGTGCATTTGATTTCAGCTTCTTAAATGAAGAGCGATGCTATCTGCCAATCTGAGAATCATTTCCTTCATCTTGCCCATCTTTGATCTAGACACAGGGAGTTGTGGTGGCACAGTGGTTAGAATGCAGTATTGCAGGCTAGCTCTGCCCACTGCCAGGAGTTCGATCCTGACTGGCTCAAGGTTGACTTAGCCTTCCATCTTTCTGAGATTGGTAAAATGAGGACCCCGATTATTGGGGGCAATAAACCGCTCAGAGAGTGCTGTAAAGCAGAGTGGAGCAGTGCATAAGTTTAAGTGCTATTGCTATTGCTATCTTTTAAGCCAGTTATTAATAATAATAAAAAATCAAAATAATTTTAAAAACTCCTGATAGGGGTTGAATGTTGTGATTTACCAGTCGGTATGTTACTCAATTGCAATGAGAATTTTATGCATTTTTAGTACAATTTTCAAACTAGCTGTGTCTCAACTTAATCTTTGTCCAGCCAGCATTTAACTAACTTGCTAATCATAATCTCATGGGGACTTTGTGTTAATATTGTAGACATAGTGTATTTGATTTCAGCAGAGCATTTAACAGTCTGCTAAGAAGATTAACATTAAGTCTGTCTTAGTACACAAATATTACTTATGTTGATTGGAGGCCATAACTAATTGGGTCTGGTGCAAAGCCTTTTATTTTAACACTGAAAAGGATATGCTTGTCATCAATAATAACAAATAGTTTTAATTTAAGTAGCTTGCTAGCACCATCAATTTTGAGCTGTAAAGATGGAAGTGTTCTATCTTATCACTTGAGATGTTCATGTTAAAGTATTGCTAGGGAAATGATCTAGTGTGATCTTGAAATTTAGATTATTTTTTTAAAGAAGCTTACTGGTTTGTTTCCATCAGGAGGATTTGAATAAATCTGGAAGGTTCTTAAAGGTCCCTTCGGCATAATCCCTGTTCACCCTGTTTATTTTTCCCCCCTCCCTCTCTTTTTGGCTGTTATCTCTGGAAGGATGGAGTGTTTGAAGATGTACTTCTTTTATTTCTAAATGAATAGTTTGCATATGCTGATGGGCATTACTCATTTTTTTCAAATGGAGTACCCATTAGTAAATTAATTTTAATTGATTATTTTTTTATCCTGGTGTACACTTTTTTGAGTGGCTTCTGATGTGTGTGTGTGTGTGTGTGTGTGTGTGTGTGTCTGTCTGTGTCTGTGTCTGTGTGTAAGTACATATGAGACATGTATAAATATAAGAAAGCAGGTGTGGTATAGAGATTAACATGTTGGATTGGCACTTAGGAAACCAAGCTCAAATCCACTCTCAGCTAAGGAAGTTCACTGGGTGATTTTGGATTAGTCACTTTCTGTCAGCCCAACCTATTTCACAGGGTCGCTGTGGGGTAAACTGGGATGAGAGATAACCAACTTGAACTTTGGGATGGAAGGCAAGAGATAAATTGAACAAATAAATGCACCCATTTAATTGAGAGAGGGAAGTGTCTAGGATTGACTTTTGCTGAAACTGTCTTAGGTTTATAAGGCTGAAGAAGCTAGGAATTGCACAGTACTTTTATGTGCATTTATAATTGTTACTCTTACTACTCTTCTTTGGTGGGGAGAATCATCTTATACCATACTCCTTTTGGTAAATATAATCAGTTAAATGAATTTTAAGCCACATAGAACAGCTGATACGTTTCTTTATCTTAGGTTTAAGTTAGGAAATATCAGTGTAAGAAAATGACTTTTGATTTAGTTAACAAATTTTAGTGGAGGCTGAAAAATAGATGGGCAGGTCATATGTGTGCCCATTGTGGTACTATAAGTTTAGAAATACTTTGTTCGCTAAGTTAAAGCAGTGTATAGCTTTCTTATGCTATTTGCCCCTCCTGTGCTTTCGAGTTAGGATATAATAGAAATGAAATACAAATTTTCAGTCTTGCTCTAGAAAAAAAAAACCAGAAGTGGATTTATTTATTCTTTTGATTTGCTCTATTACTACCTCTCAGGAGCGAAACTGTCTCTGTTCCTGGTGCTACATATTGCAGTTAGGAAGGTGTATGTTTGTATAAGAGAGGAACCTAACATATATATGTATTTAAAAATGTCTTTCAGATTCTTGTTCTGGATGGCAAGCGACTACGCACAGAACCAGCCAAAGTAATGGAAACAGTCCAGAAATTTCTTGGAGTGACAAATGTCATAGATTATCATAAAACTCTAGCGTGAGTCCATTGCATATGCTTTCGTTGAATTTAATCTTTGAATATATTTTCAGGATTAGATCCTACTTGCTTGGATCCCTCGCAGTGCGTGCATTTTTTCCTTGTCAACTGAAGAGCCGATTCTGTTTGGAGCACTGTAGAATTGGCTTCCTTTCATTTTGCAGACATCAAACTGCTCTGAAGTTTTGAAATCGTTCATGGGAAAGGATTATAATAGAGTATAGACTGTGGTGGTTAGGAATAAGACTGTGTTCTACTCTGGCTTCAGTAGTAATAAAATGCTGAATATTAAATACTGTTTTCTGTAACAAATACGTAAACATTACATTGAGCAATTTGTAATGCATGGATGACTGATTGTCCATAACAGAACTGCACATTTTCTTTCAAGTACATATTATATACATATGTATGTAATAGGAATAATAATCTTTTGTACCCTCATTCCTGGTAATGTGTTTCAGGGATCAGTTTCCCTGTTTACCTTCTTGCAAACTCTTTCGCGAGGAGTTTCTTCCCTGGTAGAGTTTAAAACATCTGGATCTGAATTCTGCAGAGAAACAAATTATGGGGAGGAGAGGAGAACCATGCTCACTTCTCCATGTCTCATTACCTTTTGGTGAAGGGAATATATCCAGGGGGAAGTCTACAAGCACGTGCACAAATAAACAAGTTATCAGACTGCTATTAAGATACATTAGTGTCCTTTGAAATCCACAGAAATGATCTTTCTCTTGTTCAGAGCTGTGGAACATTTTATAATCAATAGGTATTACTTCCTTTCCTTCAGAGCATTTGCATTTGTAAACAATCCTGGCTAGTGCAATTCTTAGTACATGGCTTAAGAACCATTTTTTAATAGAAATGTGTGTGCGTGTTATCTAAATTTAGGACAAGAAGCCGTTTATACCTAGCTAAAGGACCACCACACAATGCATTTAAAAATCATTGGGATCAATGGATTAGCAGAGAAATGTGGAAGTGTAGGAATTTATTCTTTCCCTTCCACTGCTATTGAGTTTTGTAGCAGAATAATAGTGCAATATGGTCATTCCATATGTCTGATAAAAGGGATCTCATTTTGATCAGGAAAGTTGGTTTCCATATTTAATTATATGTAATTACTGCATGTATAAAATAAGTAATTCCAGTTACAAAACGGGGATCATTTGGATATCATCTTCTTTGTAATTTGTGATAGGTTTGATCTCAAAAAAGGATTCTGGTGCCAACTATTAGAGGGAGGAAAGACCAAGTGCTTGGGTAAAAGCAAAGGAAGAAAATACCCAGAGATGGATTTAGATGTAAGTATGTAAAATGAGGGTATTTTTCATCCGCTGTTCTTAGAAGACACTGGCGCAGTTGTGCACTGGGTAACCAGCTGATCTGATTTTGTAAGGACAGGAGCCCCACTAACCTTTGCTCTGTACTTAGTGAAAGTTTCTTCCTCTCCATGGTGGGATTCCATGCCACTGCAGTAAAGCTATGAACTTATGAAACATATGTGCCCCAGTAACTGAGATTTGTCCCCACGATCATCGTTCACAAACTGCTGCAAGATAAGATGTGGCCCTACTTGGGCATTTCTCATGAATCTTTCCCAGATGGGCAGTTAGACTTTACATATCAGCCTTGCTAGGATGGTTCTTGAATTCTTCCCCTGCTGAAGGGTAACATCTCATCATAGATGAGGGGCAACTGTTTCTATGATGCTTAGAGTAAATAGACCCTGAATTTGAAATTCTATGAGTGTATGGGGAGAATGAGTATAGGTGGTTAAATCAACATAACATGTTGTCTTTGATCTTTTCTTGTATTATCTACCAAAACCTGAATCCCCCCCTCCTAGAACAATGCTTTAGAACCATCTTACATTTTTGCAGTTTCAGGAATATAGCTAAAATTGGGTGCTATTTTCTGTTGAAAAACAAAAAATCCTCCATAATTTAGGAGCTAAATCCAAGTTGAAAACAATCTATTTTGATTGGGTGCCTGCCCTGATTCTGCTTGAACTTTCACCTACTATCAGTGAGTCCTGAATTCAACTCCTAGGAGATGCAACTGTCCTCAACCTCTTGACAAGTAATCTCTATTTTATGCTTTTTTGATATTTGTATGTATGTATATATTTACTTACTTACAGGACTTAGATGGCTGCTTATCTCAAATGATGACTCTAGACTAGGGGGCCACGGCCTATTCGGAGCTGGGCTGCACAAGTTGCAGGCCAGCGTGCACCCATGCACGCAGTTCAACTTGCACAAGTGGTGAGCTGACATATGTACATGCGTGCGCAGCTCAACTTGCGCAAGTTGAGCTGCTTGCATACTGGCTCACCACTCGCACAAGTTGAGCTGCGCGTGCATGTCCGACCCACCGCTTGTGCAGGCCTGTTCCCTCTCCCCCCCAACTGAGCCGCCAGGACAGAAAGGTTGGGGACCGTTGCTCTAGACAGTTCACAACAAACCAATAGAAACATGGTTTAAAAACAGAACTACTCTGCTCCCAGGCATCAGACCATTTTTTCTTGCAGCTCAACCCCCATCCTATGCTTGGGGGAAGAGCCATGTTTTCATATCCTGCTGGAAGGATAGGGATCTATCAGATCTCAGGTGGGAGGCTGTTCCAAACAGCTGGGATGGCCACCAAGAGGTCCCATCAGATGGCAACAGTTAAGGCAGGGGACCTGGAGCACAGCCACCCTATATAAACTAGTAGGATGTGCAGATACCCTCAGGTATATATACTTGCCATATAGCATTTCCCCAGTCTTTGGATTGGATAGTAACTTCCATTTCAGCGCCACTAACATTTTTGTATAGTACAACCACTGAACTCAGAGAAAAAGATACGATAGCATTAAATATATTGCAGCTTTCAGAGCGGTGAAGTTATCACTGGTGCACTCTGTGTCTTGGGTCCTGTAAGGATAGCCCTGGTTGGCACCAAGAGGAGGAGATGTCTCCTGTGGCTTAATAATTCATGCATTCCAGGGTTCTCTGTCCCTTCTAGTTTAACATCTTCATCTTATATTTAGTCATAGCATTTAATTACGCTTCTTTGTTCTTTTCTTTCTTCCTCGTACAGTCCAGAGCATTCTTGAGAGATTATTACAGGGACCACAACATAGAGTTATCCAAGCTACTGTATAAAATTGGCCAGACACTGCCAACTTGGCTGCGGGAAGAACTCCAGAACACTAGATAGCCACTTTTTATCTCTTGTATTAAGCAATAGTAGAATGGATCCACGGGGAGGATCTCAAGCCTCTACTCCAAGCCGACAGGACGTGATAAGGTGTGAGATATTCAACAGAGAAGAAGCATTTTGAGAAATATCCATTCAAGGTGTTTGTGGAAAAGTGAGAAACTGCCAACGTGGTTGCTTGGAAGAAAGCAGCCATTTGAAGAACTACTGGAATTGATGTACAAGCAGTGCCTCAGGGCCAAGCCAGGATTGTGACATCTCTTTCTGCCAGATTGCTCAAGACCCCATCTTTACTGAAAGTATTGAGGTGTGGCCTTCTTGGCTGTAATGTCACTTTTTGGTGAAGAAGATTCCTAAAGACCTGAGTTTTCCTTACACTTTAGTTCCAATATCTGGAATAGTATTACAACAGAATGACTCCTTCTCTTTGGATAGCACCCACAGGAGAACCAAGAATTCACCAGGGATCAAGAATAATAGTCCTGCACATGTATGGGTTTGCAAAAGAACATCATTGATAATACGAACATGGAGCCAGAGGGAGGCCATGCTCCAAGTATGGACTTAATTATGCAATTTGGGCTCAGACTGAGATAGGACTGAGATAGTGTTCTGGAGCAAAGTTCTTAATTAAAGCAGATGCTCTGTTTTTATATGGAAGACTTTGGAAGACTTTGATATTGGCAATATTTAGATTATCCCAGATGGACTTTTTTCTGTCTTCTTATTTAGAAATATATTAGGAAAGGGATGGGATGACCAAGAGTGAGCAACATAGTCATCTGACAATGTTGGCAAGAAGAATTTGCTCCAAAGAGTTATTTTAATTTGTGTCCTTCTTATAGCCCTGTCTCTGGTTTCAACATACAAAATTAATATGAGATGTGGTTTAAGATTCAATAATTGAATCCATTTTTTTTTAATTTCTGGTGCACATATCCTGCCTGTTTTAAAAGAGGATGACATTCTAGCATCATGTGTAAACTTTGCTCTAATGGTCATCCTAAATACAGCTTAAGAGAATTGATCCTCTTGAGTACTGAACAAACAGTATTTTACTAGATTTCTTTTTGAACATTTTGGAGTGGGATAGGGATACATATTAGAGTTGGTATTCCCAAGTATTAGGTTCTTATTTCCCCACCCTTTTGCTATTGTAGAGAATAGAGAAAAATGGCCCATGGGTTTGGTTGATTTGTCATCATAATGTCTGTTTCTGTTAGAATCATTTTAGGATAAGCCTGTGGCTGTCCATTTTTCAATTATTTCCTCCTGTCCAATGTGTCTTATTGAGCTGTGACTGAGACTTTCCGATAACCCACTTATTCTAGTTTACTAAATTCCTTTGTGTGTATATGTGTATGTATGGAATTTATAAATATGCTGCTAATAGTATTGTGTATTCATGCATGCACACACACATATACACACTTGCCCATTGCTGTCTGTGTTTGGAGCCACATTAACAAAGTAATTAGAACCCATTTCCCCCCATTTGGCTTATTCTGTCCTGCTAGGTATTGGATGTGTCATGGGAAAGGCATGTTAAACATGTTAAACTTGCAGTCCAGAGGGCGCTGGGAGAACAGAGGTCACGACAAGAGTCAAAGGCTTTTGAAAAGCCTTTTTAATTCTTCATTGGAGGAATTAAAGACACTGGAATATGGACTGATCTGACTACTGTTTGATCCAAAGTTGGAGAATTGTTACAATTTTTCCCCCCCAAAAAAACCTTGTTAGTATTGCTAATGGAAACATTTACTATAAATTCAATAATAGGGTGCGAAAAAGATTTCTAAGCTTTTTCAATTTGGAGGTAGGTGGGGTTTTTTTCCCCCCTCCACCAGAATATCTTCCTGTTTTGCTTAAAGGTTTCTGGAAAGAATCTAACTATTGGAAGTGATTTGCTAGACCAATCATCTTGTTCTGGTTTTCATTGAAGCTATAATCATGCTAGCACCAGATCTATGAGTGAACATTTGGAGAAAAGGCAGAAGCAAAAAATGGTTTCTACTTAACTTAGATTTTTACTGCCGATAATTGCTGCCAAAGGTTTATAGGCCTCTTCTGGGTCAGAGTAACTCTGTAGAGGACAAAAGTCATTCTCACACCAGTATCAGCAATTCTTCAATTACTGTATGTAAATTCAGTTCCAGTTCTTCTGAAATCCATCACAATCCAGCTATAGTTTCAACACATTTGTTTCCATTGGCCCTGTGTGTGAGCACCATCTAGTGGATCATGAAATTTCATAGATTCGTAGAGTAAACTTTGAGTAAAATAGAGTAAAAGCTGCAGAAAACTTTAGGCCACTGAGTGTATAACTGTTTAGTGCAGCAATCTAAACTGAAACATGCCCAGCAGCTGACTGCCTCATCTCTACTTGAAGAAAGATAACCAGTAAAATAATTCCTTCCACTGAAACTCAAATTCCCCTGAATATTAGGAGGTTTTTTTTCTCCCTAATAATCAGAATCTGCCTTTCTGTATCTTAATCCATTCTTTTGCATCTTGCAGTCTTGGATTGTAGAGAGCATGTCTCTGTGTGATATGCTTTCAGATATAGGAAGACTGAGATCAAATTCCCCTAAATCTTAATATTATGAATTTTTTTCAATCCCTCTTTTTAGTTCTTACCATTGTTTTTCTCCTTTTCACCTTCATTATGTTTATTCTCCCTGTTTGTTTAGGCAGCTGTGCCAGTAATGAATGTGCATTTGAGGCAGAAGCCTGTGTAAGACCAAACTTGGGGAGATGACATTGTCTTGTGATACAGTATTTAATACAGTATTTTACGTGCGGCCTTCTGTATGAAAAGATTAGCTGTACTTGAAAGCAAACCGTGCTGAAGAGTTCCAAGCTTCCCAGTACCCCTAATTAGATGGACATTTTAAGGTAGAATGAACACGGCCGGAGGTGGGCAGGAGGCAAAGTTGCATCTACTGGCAACTCCACTGCTGCAAATCATTCAGAGGTCTTGGCTCGCTGAGGGAATTCTGGGAATTGAAGTCCACGCATCTTGAAACACTGCCATGTTTGTAAAACGCTGACGTAGAAGGAGGGTATTGGCAGAAAAGATGCAGTGACAGACTTGGAACGACAAGATCTTAGCATTTGACACCTGCAGCCTTATGAAATAAGACCCAAAGTCAGACAGGCTGTCCCTTCCAAGCCATTGTGAAACAGGAGCAGCATCAAGAAAAAAGGACCGCCGAAGGATGGTAATGAAGAGACCGCATTGGTCCATTTGAGATATGGGTCGTTCATCAGAAATGTAAGCTTGCTTTGAGAAATTTTGGCTTGGAGCGCACAAAAGGCCCTCTGTATCACTGCCTCCCAGTACTAGGTTGACTTTGCTATGGCTTCAGATTTCTAAGCAGACTTCAATGCAGAAACCAAAACTAAAACCCCTGAAATTATAATCTGCAAAACAATGTATTTTCCTTTGCCTTTTGTGGATGGAATCATCTTCCGCAACTTAAGAACAAAGGATGCCCCTCCACCCTTCACTCCTATTGTTGAGTGCAGTTTCTGTGTGCCTCTTTGGTGCATCAGGATACCTGACTCAAACTACCAAGTTAAGCATTTGATAATGTGAAAATATAGTCTTGCTTATCTGTATGATGGCCCTCAGGAAGTTGTTTTAAGACAGTCTACAGAGGCAATGGCAGCTGCTAGCTAAAGGTTCATTCTCATTGTGAATGTTATGATTATCCCTGTCTTAAATAATAAAATGAAGTACAATGTTTAAAGCAGGGGGGTAGTCAACCTTGGCTCTTTTATGACTCTTGGACTTCAACTCCCAGAATTCCTGAGCCAGCTTAGCTGGCTCAGGAATTCTGGGAGTTGAAGTCCACGAGTCATAAAAGAGCCAAGGTTGACTACCCCCTGCTTTAAAGCTTGGCTTCTCAAGATAGCAGTCTCCATGCCATAGAATGCTGCCAAAAGCGAGACATTCAAAAAAAAGAAAAAGAAGTAAACTTAGGATGTGTGTAATGAAAGTATTAATGTGTACTGCTCCCAAATGCTGGTGTGATTTAATGTGCACAAGAGAGGAGGAAACATTTGCCTTTTCACTTAGTAAGTTGGTCAGCAATAGTTGGAAAACACCACTCTCTCTGGGTAACAGAGAACTTACTAAAATCTGAGTTTGAAGAAGGACACTTTTGTTTTTTGTTTTTCTTTTGTTTAAAAGGAAGAACTCTGGGAATTCCTTTGTCATGTTTGCATGAGATTCTGTATGTTTTCCCATTGGGAAGGGCAGGGGTTATTTTGTCATGGTGGGAGGGAGGAAAGGGGAGGGAATATTTTTAAGAGTCTTTCTCCCGTATTTTTAATCTGTACTTGGACTCATTTTGGGTTCAGAAAACTGTGTCACTAATGTAATGTCCTGGTGAACTAACTGCTAATAAAATGGGGTTGTCTGTTTTTAGTTAATTTTGTGGCCTTTTTTTTTTTTGTATATGTGTAGGTTTTCTCTGATTCTTTGAAATTCAAATTGAACTTTATTTTTTTTTTTAAAAAAGTCCAACATGATTGAAATAGAGGTAACAAGCTGAAGCTTCCAAACTTGATGTAGTCCCTTGCCAGAACCTTGGGACAACCCCAAAGCTATTTCAATAGTTGCTACTCAGTTATATTTTTACAATTTAGATTTTTCTGACAATTTAGATTTTTCTTCCCACACCTATCTCAAGGTCAGCAAATGTGATTGAGTAAGCTCCATTCCCCAAAGATGGCTTAGTTACACTATGATCTCTTGTCTAAAAACCTTCTCTGACCTTGAGCAAGGACTTGGTTTGATAGTTACCTACTCATGTTTGGGACTGGACAGACCCCCTCCCCCCACACATACACATTAAATTCATCTGTACTTTATTTAAGCCCAAACGATGGTATCCTAACATTTTACCATGGCAGTAGTTAATCTGTTAAATATGTACGAGTTACATAACAATGCAAACCAAGTAAAACAAAAGAAATAATCCTGTTCATTGAACTGGGTTTGGCTGCCATTTACTTGATGCCGAATATGTAAGAACACTACATTTCTTAGCTCA